CAATCTCTAGTTACTTTTCTTCTGTCCTATCAACAGTGATAAAACCTATGCTTATAGATTTTCATGAGTAGTAAATCCAAGAAACATTTAGCAATGAAATAATCTTTTGTTAAATTTTGGAAACAAGAGCTAGAATCAGCCTAGCCAGTGTGGCTCAGTAGCTGAGTGTCTACCTGTGAACCAAGAGGTCACCAGTTCAATTCCCAGTTGATGTTTCTATCTCTCTATCCTTCTCTCTTCCTCTCTCTCTAAAAATCAATTGAAAAAGAACTATAGAATTTATAATCATTTCCTATGCTTGAGAAAATAATACTTATTTTGACATAAATATTTTCCTTTAATCAACTATATGATATAGAGGTTGAGTCTTATGTTTTCTCCTATAATATTATTGGCTGCCTAAAATATCTTCCATCAGGGAAGATATTTACTTGACTCTTCAAAAAATATTAATTTTCTCCTGATTATGAAAATAATAGGGTACCTGGATTTAAATCTTAGTTTTGCTGTATTTAAACCTTGAGCTAATTCTTCCACCTAAGTACTCAGCATATTTGTAGCTTATTTTTAAATGATTAAATGAATTAACACATGCAAAGTCGTAATGCAGTACCTGGCCATTAGTAAGTCCCCCAAAATTATGACTATGATTATTAACATTAATTTTATTAATTTATTAAATTAATGAGATACTAGCAAATTTATGTAATTCTATAAACACACATACGTAGGGTGGTATAAACTTAATAACAGGTAGTTAAAATTTTTAACGTAAAAGGTACTGGAAATAGAGAATAAAAGTGAGAAAAAAACAAAGTTACCTAGTCTTATTCACCGGTGACAAAAGGCCTATATTTCATTTATTCCATTATGTGTTATTAGACTTGAAGGAGACTGCACTAGGCGATGTCAAGGTACACACTTATTTTCAAAGTAAGTAAAATCTTTATTCTGAATTATTGATAAAAAATTTAAAAAAGCAGAAATGTGTAAGATTTGCTAAGGGCTTGCTTAGCGTTGTTGATCTCAAAGTAATGGCACTTTTTGAAAAAGGAAAATGTAAGCTCGAAAGTCCTTTATTAGTAATAGTTATAACATGTTGAAAATGGAAAACACGCGCAAACACACAGGAACACACACACACAGGAACACACACACCATGAATTATTCAGATACCTTTTCAATATCATCTGGAACTGCTGTCATCTCAATTCTTGTTGCCCAAAGTGTGGTCAGTGGATCAGCACCATCGGCATAACTTAAGCTTCTGATAAATACAGACTCTTGAGCCTGGCCCTAGACCCGCTGAATCAAACATCTGCAGTTTGGTTAACGTGCATATAAATAGCACCTAACTCATACGCCCTTCATTTTTTCCAGTGTGCCTTTTTATTATTTTGTTGTTGTTTTGGTATTTTCCATTGCCATTTATCCCTCCTGTACTCTCTTTCACCTCCACCCATCCTTCACCCTCCATCACAAAGCTGTTGTCCCTGCCAATGTTCTAAAAAAACAAAGCAAACAGGTGGAAAAGCAAACAAGCAAAACAGAAACAAAGCTTAGTGAGGTTCCACATATTTAGTCAAAATGATTCAGGTAGGAAAAAAACATGCTGTTATATGACTAATAGCATAGGTGTTGTTGTTTTGTGTGAACAAAACCAAAGTATATTCCCTGAATATAATACTGGTGCCTCAGTTATACAAGCTACTTCAGTGCTGTTTTCCCTCTGGTCTGTTTTAGAGCTACAGATAAGACACACATGATTTAAAGTTCTCTGAATATTTCACTCTGGCCTGTGCAAACTCACAAAAATTCATGCACAAGTCCAAAATTAATTGTATATATTTATATCATTTGTTGCCCACTGAGTGCCATGCTGAGAATGTTACAGCTGAGACACTTTCAGTTTTTTAATTGATTGATTTGAGAGAGGGAGAGAGAGAGAAACATTGATGTGGTGTTCAACTTATTTATGCATTCATTGATTGCTTCCCAACCAGGGATCGCACACACAACCTTGGCATATCAGCACAATGCTCCAACCAACAGAGCAATCCAGCCAGGGCCTACAGTTGAAACTTTCAAAAAATAATGTAAACTACATACAGTTATGGTCTTTTGTTTCTTTCACATATAGGATTTTTTATATGTCACCATTAAAAGTCTGCATTTTAAACAGATTCTTGGACTGGGGGCTCATATCTATCAGCTCATTCAACTTTATCACCTGTTTCATCCCCAGTAGCTTTTCCAAAACTGTGACCTGGACCATGAAGCTCCATGAGTTTTCTGAAATCAGACTTCATCTTCTTCAACTTTTTTACTTTTCTAACAAAGACATTATGGAGCAGATAAATAGATTGGCAAGCCTTTTCTATGCCTTTTCCAGTGCCATCTGGAATCGATTTATTGACCACTTCTTTCAAGTCATTTGCCTGCACCTCTCTCTCAGGTTATGATTTCCATCATCTTCTTCTGGAATTGGTAGACCTGTACATGCTGAGCACAAGAGGCCTCCTGAAAATCGTTGTTGTGCTTTTCAGTAAAACCAACACAGAATTGATGAAGCAGACAACCTTCAGTCTTGACATCAACATGAGCTTCAATCATGGTCTGCCATTTTTTTACCATGGAGTGCTTTTTGTCACAAGTAAGATCCATGCCAGGGAAATTAGGCAGTTTTTGCCCTGAACGTCCTTGGTAATTAACTGGAATTTTCTAAATGCAACTCCATCATGCTGCAGATCAGCTAGGCTCATTTAAAATACACAGCCCTTGAGACCATCAGATGTGATTTTGTTTCCTTGAGTTCTCATTATTAGAGATTTTCCAATATTTCTTATATTGAACATAGCCGGTGCCTGCACATCACACCAATATTCCCTAGAACGTGGATCCACGTTCTTCTTGGAGCAATTCTTGGCTCCATTTTTGCCGTCTTTGATAAGGCTCTTGTTCTTGCTGACCACCACGGTGCTGCTCGGAGAACAAGAGGGTGCAGCTATGGTCCTTACTGTACTTCTTGTTAAGAAGAAATATAAATAAATATATATTTTTTTCCAAATGGAAATTGTTTTAATATCTCAAAAGAGCAGGTATACATAAAAGAATTTGAAAACATGATTTTTTTATGGTATTTTACTTCCCAATTCTTTAAAACAAAGATTCTCTCGTCTTCCTTTTGGGAATGAATAAAAACAAGAAAAAATAATTAGTTAGAATATACTTTAATATCTATTCATTTATTCATATACTCACAAAACAGAAAAATTTAAGTGCTACTTATTAGTAGCTCAGTTCCTATCATATGGGCCCACATTCCAACAAGAGAGATAAGAGACAAATAAGTTAAAAATATTTTAGGGGACATTTTGGGGTGTCAGCAAAAACCNGTTAGTAGCTCAGTTCCTATCGTATGGGCCCACATTCCAGCAAGAGAGATAAGAGACAATTAAATAAGTTAAAAATATTTTAGGGGACATTTTGGGGTGTCAGCAAAAACCTCTCTTAGAAAGCGACCTTTGAACTGAGACCTCAGGTATGAAAACGATCCAGATGCAGAGCATTCCAGGCTTTGATTTCCTGAGCANCTCTCTTAGAAAGTGACCTTTGAACTGAGACCTCAGGTATGAAAACGATCCAGATGCAGAGCATTCCAGGCTTTGATTTCCTGAGCACAGTCCTTAGATGCCAAAGGCTGTGGCTAACTAGGGGAAGGGTATGTGGAAGCCGATTAAAATGAGAGAAGACTGAGTAAGGTAATATTTCATAGGTAGGTTGCAGCCAGTTCATGTCTTAGCTTGTAGGGAATGATAATTTGATAATTCCAAGTGCATCAGAAAGCCATTGAAGAATATTAAGCAGAGTAGTAAAATTATTTATGCTATAAAAAGTCTACCCTGGCTAGAGCGTGAGCAATGGATTGTAGAAGAGGTCATGAGTGGGGTCAGTGAAAACAGGTAGAAGAAGGCCTTTGCTGTATTCTGCTTGGTAGATAATGAACTGGTAGGAGAGAGCTGCATGGATTCTAGCTAATTGACTACATAATTATCATGGAAAAGAAAGTCATTAAGGAAGAGCCTCGCATTTCTGGGTTTGAGTACAAAGCGGATGGGTCAATCCCCTATGAAGTGAAAGAAGACCTAGAATGGTCTGTGGGGACAATCGAGAGTTCCAGTTTGGATTAAGTTGGAAAGGTAGTAGACACCTTTGGAGGTTAAGAGAATGGGCTCTGGGAAAGTTTCAAATCCTACTCTGTTCGGGGGCATTGTGAAGGAGGGCTGAGGTTGAGTGGGGAAGTAGAATTAGAAGGAAAAGAGTCCTCATGACAATGGAAAAGTATTATTCTAATTCTAAAAAGATTGTTTCATGTTCCATTTTCAACATTACAATTACTCCAACAGTAGATTCAAGATTGTAGTTGATTGTATTTAAATTTTCCTGCATAAATAGACCATAGCTATTTTTGATAACACATTTTCAGAGTTATTTAATTATGATATACTGAGAACATAGGATTAATCTGTGGCTTGCCTGATGACCTCATTGTCAAATGTTAACCTTTGAAACGGCTGGTTTATTGACACAGCAAAAATATTTTCTCTTTCAGGCCTGTTTTCTCCTCTGCAGACAACTACATTATAACAATATACTGTCTTGCCTTAGGTATTTGAAGGTTGAAAATCTTTAAATATATGAATGCATTTGAATATGACTTTCATTCATTTATCTATTTAATGAAAAAGTAATTTAGTAAATGCCCAGATGGTAGACACTTTGTCACATTCTGAGAATTCCAAGGTAAACATGACATTGTACTTGTTTTCAAGATGCAAAACCCCAAATATGTGAGGTTGGTTAATCCCTATTGTTTTTCTAAAGAGCTTTATAAAACAGATGCTATGTTAGTTTAAATTATTATTGTTGTGGTCATTAATATAGAGAGATCCTTCTTGAAGCAAGTGTCATTTTTCTTTTTACATGTTTTATTTTGGCAGCCTTGAAAAAGGGTCACGCGAAGCAGCCCAGAGCCAAAAGCTGAAAGTGGCCACCATCAGCATGAGGACCCCAGCAAGTCAAACTCGTAAGTGGAAAAATCATCCATAGGTATCTTTTTCTATGTCATTAAATCTGTTGGTATTTTTTCTTATGCAACAATTTCTCAGAATTTACAAACCAAAATGAGAGTGCTCTAGAAGGAGAGTGCCTGTGAAATTCATTGTCATTACTTGGAAAGCCTTGGAGATGGTATTCTGATATAGACAGACATGGATTTAAAGTAGTTCTTTGACCTTGTGAAAGTTGCTTAATTCTTTGAGTCTTAGTTTCTTTATTCTGAAATGCAGATTATAATAATTATCTTGTTAGGTTTTCCTAACAACTAAGATACTGCATATAAACAATCAGTAGTTTCCTTAGCATAGAAAAGCAGCTTAAAGATATTAGTCTAATATTTACTGAATACTTTCTAAATGCCAGGTATTAAATGCTAAATACTTTAATGCATTATTTTATTGAATACAACCCCTAGAGATAGAAGCTATTTTTACTCTCATTTTACAGATGAAAAAACTGTGCTATTGACAGATTATTGGACTAGCATTTAAATCACATCCTGCTCCCTGAGCTCCCTGAGACAGTTGTTTGAGTGCAGTTCTATCTGGTGCCAGAGTTTCTGTTCTTATATTTATTCATAAAGTCAACAAACATTTATTGGATATCTAAAAATGGCAACCCTTTTTTTAGCTGAGATTCCATGCTGTTTCCCAAATGATTATTACTTAGAACATAACTATATATTTATATGCGGTGTAATAGCCTGCAAATAACGTATGAAAAAGGAATTTTGTTTAGTATTTTGTTTAGTGTGGAAGACAAGGTAGGGATCATTACTTATATTTTACAGATGGAGAAACTGAGGTTCCCCAGAGGTTAGTTGGGTCACTGGATGTCTTAAAGCTCAGTGCTTCTCAGACACTCTGGTTAAGAGTCAGTGTATTGGTAATCCATCACAGACAGAAGGTTTTTGTAAAATGACTAAAAATTAATTACTAGAGAAATAAAATGATTAAAAAGCAGACCCCAGATACACCACTCCACACTTTTGTTATTATACTACAGATGAAAGTACTCTATAAAATGGGTATAACAGTGTCTAGTACTTTCTCTCAATTTCCACACCCCTCCCAGGTAGCATTTGCAGAGTGACACCAGCCGGTAGATCAGACAGTACACCTCAGAGCGCTGATAGAGCTAATACAGGGTGGGCTGAATAGCTTTACAGTTGTTCGTATGGAGAATAGTACAACAGTTAATAAAAATACAAGAATAAACTCTGTGTTTCATGTACTCACACCTGTAAACCTATTTTTGCCCACCCCATATAAGGCAAATCTAACACTCATCCCAGACCTTCCATCTCTAGCTCAGATAGTTTTGAAATACCCCACACCACCTGGACATACAGCTAGAAATCTGTTTTATGGTCTAAGGGACAAGAAGATCAAATTCCAAATTGTTCACATGAAACAGGTGCAAGAAAACTGACAATGGCCAATTTTCAAAGAGTTTTATGAAAACTGTGGAAAAGGGAGAAAACAGTTGGAAGCTCATGTAAATGATTTCTTTCAAATTTATGTGCAAGACATCAATACTTAAATTTTTTTTATATGTGACATATTATTGAAAGATTGTCTCAAGATATGTTTTTCTTTTCTTTTTTTATTTTGTTAATTTTGTGAAAGGAGAAGTTAGGTTGTATTTAGAAGACTGAGCCTTGTCAGTTCCCCAAAACAGAATATAAGCCTCACATTATTCTAAGCGATAAAAGTGGATTTGGGCCAGTTATGAAATGAAAATGAACCCATCTAACCACCTCATTGAAAGGACCTAAAAATGATGTTACTTACTCATTTCAAAAACTACCAAAGAAAATTGCAGCACTTTTGGTGCAAAGTAAAATGCACAGAGTCAGCAATGAAAATTTACTTTGTAAGACAGTTTTGTGGATCTATTGATGAAGTGCATCCAAATATTTACAAGTGACATTTTATTAACAGCTATTTTGCCATCTCTGTCAAAGTAATATTGTACAAACATTCAGGAATAACTTCTGGTTGTGAGTAAATATTAGAGGAAGATTCAATTTTTCTCCAAATAATGCTTATAGTATTTTTTTAATCATAGTATAAGATGTCAGAAATCATTTTTGTTGTTGTTGTTTTAAAGTTCTACTGTCTTAGTGCTTGATGCAGCCTGAAGTGGATGTAAGGGATAGAGAAAGATGAAAATGTATGACAGCATTCAAAACTGAGACTTTCAGCCAATCTATTATTAGCTTCTGGGAGGACTCCACATTGCTAAAGTGAAACCCACAATCTGAAGTAGGGCAAATCCGTGGCCTTAAATAATATAGAGAGACTCTGTGTTCCTCACTTACTTTCTGCCCTTGATTCACAGATCTAAGGTGTGTATCATTCAGAAAGTTACACTGTCATACCTGGGCACCCCTCTTTAGTCAGTGCCTTCCCATCTATATTCATTTGTGGATTATCTCTCCTCCCTCTGAAAAGAGCAAAAAGGAAGGACTTAGAGAAATGCATTGCATCCAAGGAGAGAGAGAGAGAGAGAGAGAGAGAGAGAGAGAGAGAGAGAGACCCAATAGTCACTTCAGGTATGGCAATAATGGGAATTCTCTCTCTCTCTCTCTCTGTGTGTGTGTGTGTGTGTGTGTATAACAATGCTCTTTCGCAATGATTTTCAACTGGTGTGCCACAATAATTTTTAAAACATGCAATTTTTAGTCAGGGGCACTACTGACCTCTTTTCCCTTAGATTGTCAAATTAAAAAGTGACAACAACCAACACAACACCAGACATCCTGTGTGAATAAATAAAATTTACACTTATTATTTTTGTCAGATCAGCAGAAAATATATTTTTTTACTGTGCCCCAAAATTTTAGGAATTAGTTTATGTGTGCCATGAGATGAAAAAGTGTGAAAATCTCTGCTCTGTCAGATCACATCAGAGGACTACAAGTGGTAAGAAAAGATGTCCATCAAGTTTACAGCAGAGGTGCTTTATTTGAATGCCTGTTACTCATTGGAATTTGGGCCTGAGATTTTCACAATCCACGATTCACAATTCACAATGATTTGGGTAATGCTTATTTGACATGGGACATTAAAGCCTCAGAGGTAAAATGTATATAGAACAAGGAATTGATATAGAGATCAGAAAAATATCTTTAAAAAATGTTGTCATCTTTACATATACATTGATTGACTTAGAACTAAAAGCTATAGAGGTTGAAAAAGTTGAAATGCAAAAGATTGAAAGGAAACAGAAAATTTAACAAAAGATTAAAATCTGCCTTTGAAGGCAACAAATAATATAATCAGATTTGTAGAAAACACACTGAAGACGCACTCGTAGACTACAGAGAACACAGATAATCAATGAAATAGATGAGAGAGAAAAAGTGACCAATATGGAAAACAGAAATCAAACGTGGGTAACTGTTCATGAAAGCAGAGGAAAATAATAAATAAAAGATGAGCACTAATCAAATAATCATAAGGAGAAAAAATCTTGCTCAGGAAAGAAATGAAAAGAGTTTTTATGACTCTAGAATTTATTTGCTAAGATCTGAGATTTTTTATATTGCATAGGAATCTCCTATTTGTAAAAGTTAGGAAAATCTAGTGGTAAACTGAGACAAGAGATTCTTATTTTCTGATAGTTTCTTTTATTGTAATGCTTCACGTTTCTAGACTATAGAAACTTGGTCTATTCAGGTTTTCTTATTTCCTTAAACAATTTTGGTAATTTGTGTTAACCTAGAAAGACTATCAATGCTGAGTAATTATCCATTTGTAAATATACATGGAGAAAAGAAGACTTGGAATCAATGCATGAGTGGAATAATTAAGTTATTTTTATTTTTCTATTTTAATCTCTTCTGTATATTCTGACATGTAAAACAATGATGTATTATTGGTTAATTAAAGACTTTTATTGAAATATACTTAAGAGCAGTGCACACAAAAATGAGTGAGCAGCTCAATAAATTTTCACAAGTCCACAAAACATGACCACCTATGTTTCAGAAATAAACATAACCAACATAATTGAAAACACTTTTTTTTCCTTTCGAAGTCATGAATCCCAATCCTCTTACCTAGTAAGAAGATGGTAAACAATTTTCTGAATTCTTCTACCATGCATTGTTTCACTTTTTTGTTTTATATGAATGGAATAATAGAGGTTTGTATGTGTTTTGTCATGTGGCCTATCGCTCTCAATTTGAGATGTCTATGTATAGCAGTAATTTAATTCGCGATGCCATCTACTGTTCCATCATGGCTAGCTTGTGGCTCTTACATTATCATACATGTCCTTTGGGGCATGTATGTGCACAGTCTTTGGGATATACAATTAGTTAGATGTGGCTTATTTGTTCAGTTTTAGTAAATACTGCTAATTTCCCAAACTAGTATAATAATCTACATTCCCACTAGCAGAGTATAAGACTTCTAGTCATTCCGTATCTTTACCAACACTTGGTGATGATCAGAGATTTTTATTTTAGTCATTCTGATGGGTGCGTTGTGGTATCCGATTGTGGTTTGTATCAGCATTTCCACAATGATTGATAAGGGTGGTACTGCTACTCCTGACCAACAGTTTTCTAGGTACCCCCAAATTGAATGTGAATGGAAATTTAGACGAGGTCTTTCGAAAACTGGTAGCTTTATTCACTTCCACTGAATGGGACCTAAATTTCCCCTTTTCCTAGGAAAATGGAAAAGCATATACAAACATGGAATTAAATGTGTACAAGCCTGGCAGTCTTATTCAACTTAAATTCAACTTATCAATTTTGCTCAACTTTCACTCTCCAGTTAGCTAATTAATGCATCGCAATCTATCAATTTTGTCTTGTTTCATTGGGTATAAACCAATCTTCTGACAGCAGAATCACAGTTGAATGGTGATGATTAGAGTTTATTGCAGGAGAGAGATTGCACACTCCATTTCTGTGTTGGGAAAACTAATTATTTGTCCAGTGATTGGAAACTG